CTTAGGGGGCGTTTACCAAACACTTACCCGGTAAGCGCTTACTGGTAAAATTTAATATTACTACTTATTTACCGGGTAAGACTTTTGTCCACCAAAATGACATTGTATGGAACAATTTACCCAGTAAGCACTCACCATGGTAAGAGTCATCGTCCTCGCTTACCGGGTATGACATGATATGAGAAAACGCTTGATTTTGAGGATTATTCGTTGATTAAATGACGTACACAGACTATATGTAGTATATATGCATGTTGTTGCCTAAAGTGTTTAAGTGTTATAATATAGTACTTTATAGGACTAAAGAATAAAACGCCTTATCTAAAAATGTTACAATAAGTTTATATGATGTTTTTTGGTGTCGTAACAAGTTTTTAAACTATTTTAGTATGCTAAAAGTATTTTGAAATATTAGCTGTGTTATGACAAAATAGCATGTGTACGGGACCATAACTGAGACGTCGACTTGATTTATTAAAAAAAGAAAGAAAACCCTATTATTAGTAAGGACCGATATATTTGTACTGTATCAAGTATCAACATATGAGGTGTTCGTCAACATGCAAACCAATTGCATAACTCTTAGTTCGGATTATGCATTGAATACGTTTGTATATGTTCATACGTGTTTTAACAGTGTGTTACTGTATTTACATAACATGTTTTTATGAAATTGTTCCAATAAGATATGCAAGTTTCTTCTTCTCCATGTTGTTGAGGGTGTTATTACATTCATAACGTTTTAAATGAAGTACGATGCAACATTCTCAAATCTGGAAAGAACGACTAATTTAAAGTTTATGATAAAATATCAAATAAGGAATAAATTCTTTTATAAGTGTCGACACTTGATTTCCTTTAATGACAATCTAAGATTTAACATCAGCAATAAATGATCCAAACCTTACACAAAGTCTAGATTAAGAATGAGTGTTACTAAAACCCAATAACGACCGCTATATCCAAAATATAGAAAACGTCCCTGAATAGATAAATATTTCTCGTGTCTCTAACTAGCACTAAACTCTTCACAGTATCGTTAGTACCATTCTCCAACAAGGACCTGATACACATGCCGACAAAGAAAAAGTGTTAGGCTTAAAGCCTAGTGACCTCAATCAGTTTTCGTTTTTAATATAAAACAGTAAAACTGAAAAAAGACTATTTAAATTACAACTTCCAAAATGAAATGTATTAAGGGGTTGTTTGTTTACCTCTTAACAGTTCCATTAAGAGGCAATATCTGAATCGTTAAGAGGTGAATCTTGTTTGGCAAAAAAAAGTCCGTCTCTTAATGGTTCTAAAACCCTCTGAATGATTTTGTATCCTGGGCCTCCCTTAACCATTAAGAGCCCTAATTTCATTGTAAACAATTATAGTTCATTTTGCACTATATCATGAGAGCCTCTTAATCATTCTAACCACTTAATGATTCTGCACAAAACCATTCAGCAACTGCCAAACAGCCCCTAAAGTTTAATATTCAAATACTGAAAAAAGACTACCATTTTCGTGATGAAATCTCATTAACCAAAAGGTCCAAAACATCGATTTAACATGAGACCAAAACCTAATACTCACCCAAAAATTGAATAAAGTTTAATATTCTAATACTGAAAATTTGAATAAAACTCTACTATCTAAAACACCAGAAACATGGATACGGTTCAATATTACAAAACAATAAATCATGGATACAATCCATACCCAAAGCAACACCGAAAACATGAATAATACACTATCTAAAACAACACCTTTCGTTGACGTTAGATACCTGTATTCATCAAATGTGGCGAACATAAAGTAAAGCATAAATCAACGTTAATGATCCCCAACTATGAATCACATGGTCATCAATTTCAACCATCCACGATATGTACCATAAGTCCCCCATAGATCCTATATATGCTCGTTTGCTAGAAATGACAGCCACAACGAACTACACAATCCTCAGGTTTAACTACCCATGATTTATAGCTTGAGTCTTCGTTACAAACCACACAATCATTAATTTCAACCACCCACGATTTATAGCTTGATGCTCCCACTAATATGAGTTTCTAGCAATAATAAATGGATATTTATCCTATTTTAAACCATCAAACCGACTCCTATGCCAATGAATCCCATTGCGTTTCGATCTAAACTACATGACTCATATCGAGTGACCAACACACTTAAACCATGTAATTTCTAATAAATATGCCATACAGCATATCACATTTCAAAGCTCGACATTAAGCAAGTTAAACTAGACAAATGTCCTCAAAACCCATCCAAGTCAAAATTGAGTCAAATACTCAACGACTGATTTGACTAATCAATAACAATCAACACAAACCAATAAAATACAAATACTCAGCATTGAGCAACTTATACACCAAAAGATTTGAAAACCAACACCATGAACTCAAAGGTTGGGCAAAATCTCAAAACAAGTGTTTATATCAAATTCAAGCAATTAAGCTCTTCTACTTGTTGAACTAGTCCAAAATGATTCATAATGAACTCCAAAATGCATTCAAATAGTTTATCAAGTCTCATGACCTAAAACGTTACAAGATTCAACAAAGCTCAATCATATGCATTTTTTTAGTGATTTATAAAATCAAATATCAAAAGTGTATTAACATCAAACAATCCCATATGAGATATAACCATCAAAGTCTACACACTTTATGATTTATTATCAATATGTCCCAAAACCCCAAATATATGTACCTCAGGATTTTATAAAATAAATGTGCAAAAGATGCAATTTCATCGAGTAACCAACAATATTTATAAATCTTTAGGAAAATATTTTAAGACTCCAAAATACACATTTTAGGCTTGTACAAAGTTTTCACAAAGCAACTTGAACTCACCTTACTAGGTTAAGTTAAACCTAGATTGTAAACCCAAATATTTAGCTTCCAAAGGTGGGGACTTGAGATCCATAAGCTAGCTTGACAAATCTATGGTGTAAAGCTTTCAAAAAAGCTCTATTGAACTTCCAAGATCTAGCAAAACACCTTAAATAAGGAAGTTGATGATGCAAAGTGGCCAAACCCTAGGTCAATAAATGGAGATATAAGTCTTACCTTTTAACTCTTAGAAGCCTCCAATAATCAAGAAACTTTCAATCCTATCCAGTCTCCCATTTAAGAGCTTCAAAATACGAATCCATAGCCTCAAGACTCACCCAAATTGAATAAGCAATAAAGAAGTTACGGTCAAATGAAGAAAACCTTGAAAATCACGGTTTTTAACCTTCAGATGGATTATGTGACCCTAGGGTCGCATGGCAGGGTTGCTCGTGTTGGTTGATTCCTCAAATAGGAGCTTACGCGGCTTTGGCTGTGGCTAAGGCTGCGGGTCAAGCCGCTCGGGCCGTTTCCTGACCGTTTTTCGCGGCCGTTCTCTGATCGTTTTCTCGGCCGTTTTCCCACTTCTTGTTAGAAAATTACAGGCGTTATATATGAGTAGTATGATGCACACATTCATGCTGACAAATGAGAGTCTTACAAATGTTCAACCTCGAGTTACAAATGTAAATTCATATAAATTCTTAGAGCCATCTATAACTTGTATTGGGACGAGTATAGTCTCATTCTTTTACAAACCCAATAATTTGTACAAATTTACAAACTAGTTTTCATGTGTTTTTCATATATGAAAAGCTAAATATGAAAAATGCAATGTTGTTTCATATCTGAAACGTTTATGACTGATTTTTCCACAAAGAAAACAGTTCTAAACATTTCACATATGAAACAACAATGTATAATACACTGCATTTTCACACATTGTTTTATATGTGAACCCATATGAAAACTGGTTTCTAAATCCGTACAAATTATCGAATTTATAAATGATTAATGTAAATAATATATAATACTCCATCCGTCCCAAAATAACTGTCAACAATGAAAAATTCACACTGTTTGCTACCTATTGTTTTCTTTTGCCATATCAATTCTTTCTCATAAACTTCCAATTCCATCAACTTAATTTTCTAGTGGTATTAATTCCATTGTCGAATCTCATGGCTCTGCTTCGGACATGCAAACTATACCAAGTTGACGTTGAATAGGAGTAGAAGATATTTCCGATGGGGAGACGAATACGTAGAAATCGAAAAGAACACCAATGCCAAAATACTAAACCGACACTCAGAGACAAAGTTAAGCTAGATAGGGGTAATCAAAGTACATTTCTTGAATCAGAAGAATCAACCAAAATTTCTTTGCTTATGAGAAGACATTTCACCAATCTTTGCTCATATTTGGTTGTTAACCCTTTTCACATTAATATGTGAGCCCTAAATCCATTAGATTTTTCCATTTAATCCATGATTAATTTAACCAATAACACATCATATTAGACCACAAAAAGCTCTTCTTAACGGGTGTTTGAGATTGCTTATAAAAACAACTTATTGACTTATTTCAGTGTGACATCGGATATAAACACTTTTAAGTGTTTTGATAAACAACTTATATCGGTGTCAAACCAGTAATAAGAAGTTTTTAAAAATGTTAAACTCTTCTGACTTGTAATAAATTGATAAATGCTTTTATAGAAAAACATAAGTCGTTTCAAATAAGCAATCTCAAACACCCTTTTAATCTGAATTAAGGTTTCATGTATTTGAAAGAATAAAATGCATCACATATCATGTTCATATAAACCAAAAATGGTGTTTTAAGAGCCATGGTTGCTAGCCCACATGCACATGGACCCAAAAGAATCCCTGAGGGTGAAAGGCCACCAATCAGAAAGAAGACTACAAGATTACTCCACTAACTCCACGAATCAGCAACCTGATAAGACCTTCCAATGGGTCCAGAAACCCTAATCGCTAAATTTCCCATCTTTGTTGAACCCCACCAGAGCTACACATGACCACTCGAGTCTCGTAATCACAAATCGTGAGTTTTGGGGACCAACACCACAATAATTGCAGCTACAGTATTATCATAAATACATGCAACGGCTCGCTACCAACAGTTGCACTACACTTTTGACTCTTTCAGTTTGCCAAAAGCTGCATCCAGTTTCTTTGTTGTTCATGTTCTTGTTCTCCTTTAATTTGCTTTTGGTTTTGGTCGTTAGGTTTGGAAGATTAAACCCTAATGATGGTCGGAAAGAAAACAGCCAATGCTGTTGGTGGCAAGACAGCAAGGGCTTGCGACAGCTGTGGACGAAAGCGAGCAAGATGGTATTGTGCTGCCGATGACGCTTTCCTTTGCCAAAGCTGTGATGGCTCGGTGCACTCGGCTAACCAGTTGGCGGGCCGGCATGAGAGGGTTCTTTTGGAGAATGGTTCTTCTAAGCTCTTTGGCTCAGGCATCGGTTCGCAGGAACCAACTTGGCACCAGGGGCTCACTCGTCGGGCACGTACACCACGATCCCGGAGTAAATATTCTCTCAAGTTAGAAGGCAAGAACGATGTAAGAAACTCTTCTGTTCCCTTAGTTCCTGAAATGGGCATGCTAGATCAGGTATCATCGTTTGATGATGATGATGAAGAAGAAGAAGAAGAAGAACAGCTTTTGTATCGTGTGCCTGTCTTCGATCCTTTCGAAACTGAACTGTGTAATGCTTCGAATGAAATGGAGAGAAGCTTGAATTTCATAGTGGAAAACAAACAGGAAGAAACCTGCAATTTGGATGATCTTCAAGGGTTTGATCTCCCAACTGATGATTTGGAGCTTTTGGAATTTGCAGCTGATGTTGAAAGCCTACTAGGGAAGGGTTTTGATGATGCATCATGTAGGATCGACGATTTGGGGTTGACCAATGACTGTAAAGAAGAAGATAACACTAACGATTTAGGAATTTGTTTCGAGGAAAATAGGATAAAAGTTGAAGATAAAGAAGTAGAAGCAATTTTGGATTGCGACTTCGACGCGACCACGGAAACCCTAGATTGGGACTTCGGTTATGAGTCCATGATGATGATCAAAGAGGAGGAGAAGAAAGACGTAGAAGGCGTCGCGGAGGAGGATACGATGATGGTTCCAAGCGATGATCAATGTAAAGAAGGGACGACGGTGAGAAAATCGAGCATAATTTTGAAGCTTAACTACGAAGATGTGATCGATGCTTGGGCTGATCAAGGTTCTCCTTGGACAACCGGAATCCGACCTGAAATTGGTTCAGATGGCAGCTGCTGGCCGGATTTCATGGTTCTTTCTCTCTTTCAATCTATCCATTTCTTCATTTACTAACTTGTTCAATAACATATATATGCTGATCAACTAAGTAACTGCGATTTAGGGTTTGCAGTGGAGGGGGGACAGTTCTTCGTACAGAAGCTTCGGAGGAAGTGATGGAGGTAGAGAAGCAAGAGTGTTGAGGTATAGAGAGAAAAGAAGAACAAGACTGTTTTCAAAGAAGATAAGATATGAAGTGAGGAAACTGAATGCAGAGAAAAGACCAAGAATGAAAGGAAGGTTTGTGAAAAGGGAAACCTTTGAAGAACCTCCTGCAGCTTCTAGTTTTCCATCTTACCTCATCAAGAACTAGCACCTGCAGCTGATTGATGAACAAATAGCCTTTGTTCATTAGTTTTGCTGTTAATTTGTCGACTGCCAACCACCGAATTTCGCTTGTTTTCTTGACAGAATTCGGAAGGGTTCATTAGTCCTTCGGGTTTTTCTACTTTTGTTGTGTAAATATGCTCTTTTTTTCTTCTTTCATGTAATCTATGATGGATATGGTAATAATGAAGTAGAGTTGCAACTTTAGTTGAACTTCAAACACGAATCGAAGACAACCGATGGGTGTTTTCCGTTGCATAAATGAACTCCAAATCATGGCGTCGTTCAAATCGATGGGTAGTTTTAGTTATGAGATTCGTCACACAAGAAACGAGTAATTACTCATCTCCACCGAACAAATCTCATGTACGTTAATCATGTGAAGACACGTTATCACTTCATAAGTCGAACCCCTAAATTACTAGGACACACTTTGTGTCTCATTCCTCAGTGCCAGGCTAGAGGCTCTCACTACAACAAAATTGAGTTTACAGGACATCCCCAATCTCTAAGTGTCCCAATCGACCTCTTTATAAGACTTAATTTATAAGACCAAAATATGAAGTATCTTATCTAAAGGTGTTGTAATAAGTTTATATGACGTTTTTGGGCGTCTTAACAAGTTTTTTAGAACATTTTTAATACAAAGTGTCGCATTAGCAACTTTATAGGACACTTTTGAGAAAGTGTCTTATAAACTCATTTTTTTTATTGGACACTTGTTTTTATAGGACAAATTTTCAAATAGTGTCCTATAAAGTTGAGAATGGGACACTTTATATTAAAAGTGTCCTAAAAAACTTATTACGACGTCAAAAAACGTCATATAAACTTATTACAACACCTTTAGATAGGACACTTTATTTTTTTGGTCCTATAAACTACGTCGTATAAAGAGGTCTATTAGGACACTTAGAATTTGAAAGTGTCCTATAAACCCGATTTTGTTTTAGTGTATCTGGACCCTTTAAAACCTCCAAGAAACCTCATCTATAAAAAGACAAGCCTCTGTAAGCTGGTGCAGCAAACTCTTATGACACACCATGGATGTGTCTCATTCCTCAACAACACAAAGACTCTCTAAGCGCATTGGACTTGTCTGTGTTATAACTATATATCACCTAAATGAGTAAGGGGTTGTTTGTTTACCTCTTAATAGTTTCATTAAGAGACAACCTATGAACCGTTAAGAGGTGAATCTTGTTTGGCAAAAAAAAAAAGTCTGTCTCTTAATGGTTTCAAAACCCTTATCCTGGATCTCCCTTAACCATTAAGAGCCCTAATTTCATTGTATACAATTATCAAACAATTATATTTCATTTTGCACTATATAATGAGAGCCTCTTAATCATTCTGCACCAAATCATTCAGCAATTGCCAAACAACCCCTAAATATGTAATAAACAAAATAAAATATAAAATTTCACATCATACTAAAACAGTAAAGATGTTTAAAATGACAAAGTGAGAATAATATCAAAGTAGTCATTTTTGTTTTTGAAAGACAAATTCTGAAATTAAATAACTGCTTTTGATTTTGAAAGAAATTAGATAAGTATTCATTAAAGCGGGTTTACAGGTTGATCTATATAAATCCCGGGCCCCGAACGCAAGTAAAATTCCCAAAATTTTGGGGATCAGTTCAAAAATCAAGATTTAACATGCTACACAACACCGACCATGCCAAAACCTCCAAGAAACCACGAGTAGAAAAAAGGCGACCTCTACAAGCTTCTCCAACAGCAAACTCACTACGTACATGTAAAAAGAAAAACCAAGGGAAACAACCTATGGAAGACCTCGTTACCTTGCCTTTGAAAGAAAGCTAAGGTGAAGTTTGTTTTTTAAGAGATCTGAATCAATAAAATTGATTGTTTTTGTAAACTGATAAACGTCTGAATCTGTTTAAATCGTCTATTTTATACATTAAAAAATTATAATGTTGAATTTATAGATAAATTTATACAAGTTCACATGTTTATCTGTCATCATTACGAAATTTACATCTAAATTATATAATTAACATTCATTTAGAGGAAAATATGTTATTTAACGGTGTTTAACACATTTAAATCCTATTAAAATACATCAATTGAGAGAAACGAGAATTGATTTGATAAGAGATCGATTAAGAGAAATGATCGATTAAGATTAATCGATTGAGAAACACCGTTATCGTGAACTTAGGTGCCACTAGTTTATGTTATCATGAACTTTTTTTTGTTAATTGTACCGAAGAGTTTTTTACCACCATATCACATTTCATAACATCACACAACGATATGTAATTTTTTGTTGTTTTAGACCGTGTTACAGTCTATCAATAATTATGTTGCGATATTTTTACCATTTGACATCATATCATACCACTTCATATTATATCGCATTTTCAAGCTACAAAATTTAGAAGGTAGCATGAGTATCGAATTCATAAATAACTGACTAGAAATTATAAAATTAAAACACAAAAAATAGTTCCTAATAAGACAACTCACTCAATCATTTGACTTAGTCAACTCACCGAGCCAACTCGATTAATCAACTCACTAAGCGTTAAGACAACAATTAGTAATCCATATTTATTAACAATCATAATAAGCGTAGAGGTTCTAATTTCCTAAAAGTACCCATTAGGGGTGTTTAAATCACATAGCTTTTTTGTCCGTACAAAACTGTGCCGTTAAGAAATTTCACAGTAAGTTTTATGATTTTTCATCCTTTTCAAACTGTTCTATAAAGTTTGGTTTGCATGTCAAACCACACCGACAACATTAATTTTTATGAGTATTTATATTACATATCGTATTTTATTATCTAAAAAACTTATTTTTGACATTATTCATATATTCGATTCTAAATCACTAATAGTCCATGGTATTTAAAATTCTATTTTGAAGGTTTTTTTTTTGTTTGTTTCAGTTTTTTTTTTTGCATTTATTATAAAAATTTGCTATGTATTTCAACTTAATTATGTTGTGTATTGTCATTTTCTACATATTGTTTGTACCATGAAATGTTGTATTTTATGTCAAGAAGCTTATGTCAAGGTGTTTTTGATACTAAAGGTGGGTTGCTATCATGACAAATGGCAGGATCGCGGGCAGGATCATGCTAGAAGAGTGTGTCTCGGTATAGCTGGTGCAATTGAGCCACGCTATTTGCTAGTGGCACAATTGCACACAGTGCCCCAGGGACAAAACCTATTTTTTTTTTGGGGTTTTTGTAATGTGTAGACTATTACGTGCTTCTTACTCCTCAACAAATAATATGGGAGCGAATCCGAGAGAGTGAGTTCTTAGGGTTACATTTTGTCAAGTGTTACCATTCAAAGCTTGTAATCGGTAAGAACTTCTTAGAGATGAGATCGGTACTGGACTGGTACCGAATTTTTTTTAGACAAAAAATGAGAACTGAATCACAAAAATCCCGGTTTCTTGGTGATACAGATTTATTGATTGACAAAACCGTAGGGGGGAGTTTTTTTGTTGTTGTTATTTGCGATTTTTTGAATTCAAATGGAGAAGATAAGAATTTATTTAGGAATAGATATGGTTTAGTTTTAGGAAAAAGAGATGATTAGTTAGGAGATAGAGATAGAATTGGAATAGCCAAAATGCCCTTTGACTTACCCGGTTCCGCGGTTCGGAACCGGTTTTTTCAGTATATTATCGGTACCGAATACAGAAATTCACGGAATTTTGGGACCCAATACTGAACCGAATACGAGAATTCAGTATCGGTTCATTACGGGATCGGTATAAGACCGGTTCAGTTCGGGAAAACGGTATGGGAAGCTCATCCCTGAAACTCCTTGTATTCTCATTTCAATATTGAAAATACGAACTACCATCTCCGCCTTGTGGATGTACACTATCTTACGATAGTGGAACCACGTTAAATCTTTGTGTCCTAACTCTTATCATTTGTAGATCGTTATCAAGTGTAAGTGTAATTTCTGGTTGAAAGAGGTTTGATTCTTAGGGCATGTGGTCACTCGAGATGGAGTGAAAACGGACCACTCTAAAATTGAAGCCATGATGAATTCAAAGAGTCCATCCCAAATCCGAAGCTTCTTGAGTTTAGAGGATTACTATCGAAGATTCATTTAAGACCTCTCGAGAAAATTGGAAAATTTTAAAAAATATTTGTGGCGGATTTTTGGTGGCATTAGTCGCCTGAAACTGCAAATCCGCCAAAAAAGTCGTCAGAAATAGTGTTTTCTTTACGAAACTTTTTTGGGCCTGCAAATCCTTCAAAAATTGAGTTTTTCAGCCGATTTTTCCGCTGGAAAAAACCCTGTTATTTTATAACATAAGTAGTATGTTTAGATTTAGTTTGTGTTCAAAATTTATATTTGCAAACTATACTAGACCTCGTAGATTTAGAGTGTTTTCAGAATGTGTTCACAAACTATAATACTATTTCTAAGAAAGTGTTCATAATGTGTTCACTATGAGTTGATATTCAATTATGTGTGTACGTGTATGTTACGGAACGAGAAGAGAGGAGAGAAGATAAATATAAGAAAAAAAATAGGAGAGAAGAGAGAAAACGAGAGATCATTAAATTTATATTTTCAAATAAGTTTTTGTAGTTTAAATTAAATCTCATGAATCTCACAAATTAACAAGTTCTTAAAAGAAAACCCATATATATATATATATATATATATATATATAGGGGCTTAATCAAATGAGAACTAAATTGTTTGTGGTAACTGTGAGAACCAATCTCAACCATATATTAAAAAAATCAATGGGTAAGATTAAAAAAGAATCTTAATTATTCTATTTCTATAAATAAATATTGTCATTTAATGATATTATATGAATAAGGGCAAGATGGTCATTTTGTATTTTATTTTATTGAGCCCGCGCTCAAATCCRTTAATATTCTCGTTCAATTCTAATCCAAATATGGTGAAAATACTTTCCTATCGCAAGAGTAATCGCAAGTGCAAGTATATACATAAACGATGGAGGATGACRAAGGAATAGGTATAATCGATTTATGTTCTTCATTTTCAATATGAATAATACAGTAACCCTTGTTTCTGTAATGTGGAATGGTACAGGAAGAAGGAGCGGTAGGTTAAAGGCGAAGTCGATGTTTAAGTTCTCAAATAAAGAAAACCAACCCATTGAATCATCAGTTTTAGGTTGGAATGGTGTGATACATTGTGATAACATTTAGCATTTGTCATAATATTTGTCTGGACAGAAAATGGTGTGCTAAATTGTGTTTAGGTTCTTAATTTCTTGCAAAACATGGCTTTGTATTCATGATCAAGTTAAAACTTTTGTAGTTTCAGGACAATTTGTAGTTAAAACTTTGTATTCATGATCAAGTTATTGTTTTACTTTCTTTCCCTCTTTTAAATGTATTGTACTTTTTATCAATCCATCTTAATCTCTGAAAACCTAACCAAACATTGGCTCTCAATCTTGTTCTCATCTTCATAGTTCGACCCAAATATTAATCGTTCAACAATTCATCATGAGTTAAGGTCATACTGGATTGTGCCATTAGATCTGCACACTTAATCACTATTCTATGTTATGCTGTTGTTAAATGTACTAAAGAGTTTGTACCACCACATCACGTTTCATTTCATCATACAGTGATACGTAATTGGTTGTTGTTCTAGACTGTGTTACAATGTATCATAATATATTGTGTGATATTGTTATCATTTGACATCATATCATACCCTATCTTATTATATGACATTTTCAAGCTACAAATTTTAGAAGTTGGCATGAGTATTGAATTTATAAACAATTGACTATATATTTTAAGTTTCAAATACAGAAAATACCCAATCAATCATTTGACTTAGGGGCTGTTTACCCAGCAAGTGCTTATCGATATGAGTCAACACTATTATTTATTTTGATGCTTAAGATTTTAGTACATCAAAACGTACTGAATGCAACAATTTACCGGGTAAGCGCTTACCTGAGTAAGAGTCGTCATCTTCACCTACCGGGTAAGACTCTCTATCCTTCTCATTGCTCTTACCCGATAAGATTCTTGATCTTTGTTATGTTCATCCAATGAAGAAATCTATCCGATAAACACTTACCAAATAAGTGTTTAGTAAACCGCCCCTTACTCAATTCATTGAGTCAACTCAATTAATCAACTTAGTGAGCATTTAAGCCAACAACTAGTGATCCACATTTATTAACAATTTTAATAAACTTAGATGTACTAGCTCCCTATAAATACCTACTAGGTGTGTTCAAAGCACATAACATGTATGCATGTACTCCTAGGGGTGTTCAAATCACATAGCCTCTATGCCCGAACTAAACGGTACGGTTTAAAAATTTCACGATACGACTTACGATCTGTATCCTTTTCAAACTGTCATATACGTCTGGTTTGCAGTTCAAACTGCACCTTTAACATTTGGAGTTCAAGCTCAAACCAATCAGACACCACCCTTGTGATTAATCATAATCACTCTTAGAATCATAGCAATCACTTGTGATTATCTCATGAATCCAAAAAACTAAATAAGAAAAATGGTGTGTTTATTTCGTTTAATTGATTCGTTTTACTTTACTACTTATTTCATTTAATAAGTATAAAAATTTATTTATTTAGATAAATGTTCAGGGACTCAGTCGCTCAAAATACGAAAGTTCGTTGCTTTTTTCCAGTATTCGTAATTTCAGAAAGTTTAATAATTTATCTGTTCAATTTCTTTAATACTTGACAACTCAAAATATGAAAAACGTTTATTGAATTAAAGGAAAAACGTTTATCGGGTGTCATTTGCTTAATAGACTGTGCACGACAATGACGAAAAATCTTACCGGTATATCAGTGATTGACAATTTTACCTAGTAAGTGAGAGACAAAACTTTCTCAGTAAACACTTACCAATTAAAAGATGCTTACCAACAATCATTTTAATGACCAAAAATCAACAGTTATTTTACCTAATAAAATGAATAAAAACTGTAACTATTCCTGATAAACACTACCCGATAAACATTTGGTAAACAAAACCATAACATAATCAAAATCAAACCAAATCAAAAACCATAATCAAACCAAAACCAAACCAAAAACCAACCAAACTTGGATTCAAAGAAGTATCCAAAGAAATATCTAATGGATTCCCAATTCTGCAAGTGAAATTAAACAGCATTCTGTCAAAACTGACACACATCACGTGCTAAGCAACAACTTCCCTCCCAAATCCCTCCCATGAGACCCCTTCCTTCAAATACCATCCATTTCTAAACGCTTTTCTTCTTCGAATTCCCTTTCAATCAAGGTTACTACACCTCTATTTTGCTTTCTAATCTCATAGATTTGTATGAAATCGAAAGTTATATGAACTGCATTTACGGTGTTTAATGCTCAGCCATTGTTCATTTTGTATACAGATCTCGAGTTCTGAAACGTACCAGAAGAATCACCAAATGATGGATCGGTGTGCGTATCAACAACAGAACAACAACAACAACAGCAACGACTGCAACAACAATGGTGTTTGGCTGAGTGGAGGAGAGATGATGAACGACGTTGTGTGCCCTAGACCTCGTCGTGTAGATCGATTGAATCTATACGTTAACGATTCGATCATCTCGAGGTCGTCTCCTCGATGGCAGCAGTATTACGCCATGTATGTTGATTAATTTTCGTTTGAATTCGAATTTTACTCTCGATTTACATCCAATTTTTCAATTTCTCAATCGATTTGATTCCCTTTTTTGTTTTCTGGTTTTTGTGTGTGGGTTTACAGCGATGGAAGTGATTTGTGTGATTCAGAAGCTGGGACTCATCTTCTAGATTTGATTTTTACGAAGGTACCAATGGATTCCCCCCTCTCTCTTTGTATGTTATCATATTAGATTATAATATTTTAAATGAAAAACAACTTATTGTCTTATTATTATGTGGCATCGGCAATAAACACTTTTGAGTGTTTGGATAAATAACTTATATCGGTGCCAAACCGGTAATAAGAAGTTTTTGAAGAAGTTAATTGATTCTAACTTATAATAAATTGATAAACACTTTTATAAAAAAACATAAGTTGTTTCAAATAAGCAAATCCCAAACACCCCCTAAATATCTTGAGAAGGTAAAAAGTGGATGTTTATATATGAATCCAATGACAGAACCTAGGATTTTTATCGCTAGGTTGTGCATTTAAGGTAGATCAAAGGCTCGTAGAGTCGCTCGATGCATTTTTGGCCACATTCCATTGTTTTTAGGGGATTTTTTTTGAAGTTTTTGGTTGATTTCGATCGTCGTTTTCGTTTTTTTATTTCGAAAGAATTTTTTGGTTTTTTAGCTGATTTTGATGGATTTTTTTCAATTTATGGTCGATTTCAAGGGTTTTTAGTTTTTTTAATTTTTGGTAAATTTTAATTATTTTTTAAATTTTTGGTAAATTTTAATTATTTTTTAAATTTTTAATTGATATTTATTGTATTTGCTAAGGTTGCAAAACACTGAGATTTGTCCATACGAATCAAGACAATAATTAAAAAAAGAATAAATTAAACAAAATATATTTAAAACAGTTACAATTTGGTCCTCCATGTTTGTGTTATTTGTACATAAAAGCAAGAGTAAACTACAATTTTAGTCCATGTAGTTTGAGAATGATTGTAACTTTTGTCCCTATGGTTTTTAAATTACGGTTTTCATTCCTATGGTTTATAATTTATATCTTTTTTCATCCCTGAGGTTAAATATGTTAAAACTCCTCCATTAGTTTAGGGTATTTTAGTCTTTTTAATTTATTTCTTTTTAGTTAGTTGAATATATATTTTTGTTTTTTTTGGTATTTTTGTCTTTTTGATTTAATAAAATTGTATATTTTTTTTGATAAGAAAGTTAATAGTTTTTTTTATATGTTTGATTATTATTGTTTTAGGTTTTTTATGAGTTTGATTTCTGCGACTAATATTGTTCAAGTGAAAGACTTAAGTACCCTTCACATAAGAGTATTTTAATTAATTTTTCTTCATTAGAGACGAATGAATTATATTTCTTATAAAGACCAAACGATTAACTACTTTAAGACTTAACTTTACCAAACAAATGTATGTAATTGTATTAATAGGACATACAATTGTTTGGTCTCATAAGTTGGTTAATTATACCAAATGTACGTAACATCCCACTTTCCACATTTGCATATAAGCATGTACTTCATATAAAAGAAATACAATTTACATCATAAAGGTCCCACTAGTACAAGAAACTTATTTACAGAAGTTACAACCCAAAAATTCCAAAAGAATATACTTATACAATCACATATATAACAACATGTATCTTCAAAATACATCAATCAACAGGTTGATCTTCAATAGGTGATAAACACATAAGAAAAATATTTACATTTTCCCTGCCCCATAATATCCATGGACCCAGCCGGACCTACAATTCATATTTTAAAATACAAAATGAGGGTTAGACTAGAGGTCTAATGAGATAACCCTTTCTTTGCAATTACAGGGTGAAGATCACCAAAACCTGTTTAAAACTCCCATTTGAATACTCAATCATTTTAAATCAAATATAACCTTAGTAAAACAAAACTGTAAGTTATAAAACGATATTACCACATAAGAAGAATAACCACTCAGGTTCTTATAGATATATGAAATACAACTCTCAAAGCTCACAAGTCTCAACTGATTAGGGCATATGGTCTCAACCTCCATGATCATATAAAAGAGTAACAATAACAATCATCGGAGTTCGTGGTTATTATCAAAAACTTTTAAGATAAAACTAGATTTAAACTTAAATGAAAATTGATTAAATAAAAACCAACGACCCTATGGGTTTTATTTCAAATCACTACTCTTTGGGTTACTCAAAATATGATATCTCAAAATCATTTGAAAACACAGACAATTAATGTCTCCGACTATAAGCCATTTTCCTCTTCTCAATAACATCGTTGTTATCATCTCAATAAGAGGAATATTCCTAAGTCTTCATGTCACTAAGAAATGTTGACTCAGAATTATCGCATCTTACGAATGTGATAACAAGAGCTATAATAGTAACCACACACACAAATGTCACCCTTATCCAAATGTACATCTCTCTTTGATATGCCACCCTTATCCCATGGTGTACCTATCCTTGATATGCCACCCTTGTTTCCACCTTAAATCTGCAAATAAATCTGTAGTTTTAGCCAATAATGGCTTCAAAATAGTTTCGTATCAGAAACTTTATCTCAAGAACTCTCATAATTCTTAAATTCACTATTCCAATCTCATCTCAATATTTCTTTCAAAACAGATTTCTCATCATAACAATTTTGAAAGAAACAACAATATCTTTCCTCAATTTAATTCAACATATGAAAGATACAATTTCCCTTTTTAATTTAAAACAGTTTAGAAACTGTTAAACAACAATTTGGGAAAACAACTGTTTTTCGTTGGACAACTCTGGGTGATAAATACCCTTCATTGGCCAACACGATGGCCGATAATCCCCTCCTCATCGAACAACACTTAAACAACAATATTTAACAAACTTATCCTCATCGGTCAATACTTCACCGGATAAAGCTATGTTCGAATACACTCTCAACGGACAACACTATGTCCGGTAACCAATCTCACCGCTCAACACTCTATCCGGTAATTTAGCTCGCCGGTCAACACACTGTCCGGTAACTACCTCACCGGTCAATATTTAAAAGATAAATTTTAAAACCGGCTAAGGTTTTGTCCGATGAGTATCCTCATCGGACAAGGCATGAACGATAAAAACTCCAATCCGGTCAATACTTATTATATAAATGCTAAAACCGGATAATGCTTTATCCGATGAGTATCCTCACTAGATAAGGCATTCATCGATGAACTTCAAACCAATCAATTCTCAATCTCAAATACTAAATAGCTCAACCCTTGAACGATAAAATACATAAATCGGATAACTCTTGTCAGATATGAGACTTCACCGGACAACACTTCCTCCGTTAAAGACCTCATCGGATGATGCAATTCTCTTCACAGGTCAAGGCGTGGCCGGTAAGGAACCCTCAACACTATGTCCGAATATAGGTCCTTATTGGACCATGATTTTCGTAAGAACAAAAGTCTAAACTCAAACAACAATAGTTCAAAACATAAAAACTAGTAATCTTAAGCAGATTCAAAGGTGTGTTTGAAGTAAAATTCACCTTATGCAAGCAATATAATTTGAAGATGAGAAACAACAATTTGGAAACTGCTTCGCTTTGATCTCACATTCCCAGTTTCTTCTTTTGGCAAGAAACACACACAAATACTTTCTCTCTTTCAAACCTTCCAAAAAATGTCAAGGCTTCTTTTGCAAAATGCTTCCCTCTTATACTTGCCTTTTAAGGAAGGCGGTTTGGAATATATGTAAAATTCTTTTTCCCTTCTTCACATAACCATGCATATAATGCATGCATACAAATAATGCATACATATTCCCCATGCATACATGCACATAAACAAACTCATGCATGTATTTACATATCACATGGATAAATCACATACTTACGTAAGCATATAATCACATAATAATTACCTCAGATATGTACCTAGAACCCGGTTATCACACTATCCACCCCTCAAAAAAATTCCGTCCCATAATTCATTTAATTAAACAACCACGGATATTCGACTCTCATTTTGGATTCTAGCTCCCAAGTTGCCTCTAAACCTTTATGAAATGCCATTACACTTTTACCAGATTAATCTCTTTGTTTTGTAATACTTTCGTTTTCCGATTAGTGATAGCTTCTGGTGTTTCCACGAAGTTCAGCTTATTGTCTAATTTCACTTCTAGTAACGGTACTGCAAGACTCGGATCGGCTAAACACTTTCATAGATTAGACACATGGAAAGTGTTATTAATCGAACTAAGCTCCTCTGGTAGCTCCAACTGATATGCAACTAATCTGATTCGTTTGCAGATTCTGAATGGCCCGATATATTTCGGGCTGAGTTTACCTCTTTTACCGAATCTAACAACACCTTTCCACGGAGAGACTTTTAGCATCACATAATCCCCTATTAAGAATTCAATTGGCTTACGGCGTTTGTCGGCATAGCTCTTTAAAGGGTCTTGAGCTGTTTTAATTCTTTCCCGAATCTTTTCAATTTTTCTAAAGTTTCTTGAACAATTTCTAGACTCGTTAACTGCCTCTCACCCACCTCATTCCAACATAACGACGTTCTACACTTTCGGCCCTACAAAACTTCATACGATGTCACTTGGATGCTGGAGTGATAACTATTGTTGTATGCAAATTCAATTAACAACAGATGATCTTCCCATGATCCCCAAAGTCAATAATACAGGCTCTTAACATATGTTCGAGAGTCTGGATCGTTTTCACTCTGCTCGTCAGTCTGTGGATGGTACGCCGTACTCAGCCGAATTCGAGATCCCAAAGCTTTCTAAAAACTCTCCCAGAATTTAGAAGTAAACCGACTATCTCAGTCTGATATGATAGATAGTCGAACACCATGTCTAGTTAAAATTTCATTGACATACATCTTTGCCAATCTTTCTAATGGATAATTATCTTTTATTGGAAGAAAGTGTGCAGATTTCGATAAACGGTCCACAATCACCCATATGGCATCATATCCCTTTAGAGTTCGCGGTAGCTTCATGATGAAATCCATCCTAATAGATCCCATTTTCACATAGGAATCTCCAGAGACTGCAGATTCCCATATGATCTTTGATGTTCAACCTTCACTTGTAGACATGTTAAACAGTTCAACATACCTCGCTATGTCTTTCTTCAATCCTGACCACCAATAAAACGGTTTTAAATCTT